ATAGCTGAACGCAGGAAAAAAATATCTTCCAGAATTGATAAAAAAATATATAGTGTGCCATTTGAACAAAAACAATTTTGACACATGTTACCATGGAGACGATCTGATAATGTCATTTGATAGGGTTTGAGCGGCGATTTAAAAATATATAGGGTTTGTTATAGTTATTTGTTAAAATAAAAGAGATACGAGGCCGCGAATATCAAACTGGATCACCCAGTATATAAAAATATAATCTGTTAAAACTGTATCCCACAACTCCATATTGTTATAAAGTAGAGTAGGTATAGGTATGTATACTTACATAATTTCAAGAAAAAATTGTTATATAGGTACCTACTGGTCCCATTTTCTGCTAATCGATGTTATGGAGATTTTAAAATTTAAAAAACTGAAACTATAATAACAATAATTTGCATATCAATAAACAATTAACAAATTAAATATATATGTATTGTGTATAGATTGAAGAAAACGCTTGTTCAAAAGTGAATCCTCCAGCATAGATAGGTAATTCACAAAAACGAATCATCTATATTGTAAATTATAAATAGCTATAAATACAATAAATTAAAATATAAGTCATAGAGGTTTGGGCCTGGGTATTGCGGTGGACATGGCATCCCAACTGCATTATCTATCACCTTATATGAAAAATTAATATTTAGCCAAAATGTCAAATACCTTGCTCGGTAAGGAGGGGCGCCATTATGTCTATACATTTAATGTAGTATAAAGAATGCTTTCTAAAAATTCGAATGATATTGTTTAATAAGATGCATCTCTGGGCTAAAGGTTCATTTAAGGTATATTTAAAGCCATAATGTATTGTTAAATAAATGCTGCTGAAGATGGACCGATCTAACCGCATGTGAATTGTCCAAAAACCATCATATCATGATCGTTAAAAAATATTAATTCTATCTCTGATAAAGGTGGCTTCTTCAGATCACAAAACTCCAAAACTGAAACTATATCGCACCTGTTGCAGAATGCATTGGTAAAATTTAAATCTTCATTGTGCATCTCCACAGTCGCCGCCCTGGAATATACTTTTTCAAATTTTGTATACTTAGTTGAAAACAAGAACAGTTTGAGAGAACTACGAATATAATAATAATAATACCTAAACAGTGATACATATTCAAGAAATACTGATTTATGTGTTTTTTAAGCTTAGTAGCACACAAATTCTTTAATTTCAATGTATAAAAGATTTTTTTAATCGGGACAATTTCGAAAGGTATCTTAAGGCCACAAAATTAATTTCGTATTTTTTTAATCGAATAAAGTTTTAATGTTGCCTTTATCGAATTACCATTTTTATCCCTGCACAGTACTTTTTTATTTTAATTATGTAATTCATTGCTATTTTCAGAGCTAAGGTATGCTCTCAGGTTCCTGCCGCCGCTTTCGCTTCACAGGTTATCGAGTTGATCTCTCGATCTTAGCAACCTCTAGTGCTTCCCTCTGTTACTCAGTTTTAAATAAAAGAAAGGACTTCATAACATTAATAAAAAAATAAAATATAAAGATAAAGAAAAATCCTAGTATAACAGTAACCAGGGATTTTAAATATTAAAATATTTAGTTTTCCGTTTTAATTTTCAACATCTTGTATTTCAAAAATAGAATGTTTTAGGACACATGTTTGAAGAACCTTTTTCGTTAATTTGTGACGTATAAACTCTCATTAATGTTTAGCCTAGTATTTTAATTACATCCAGTATAAATGCCTATATCTATGAAAACAAAATTTTTTTTATAAATCCTCAGCTATGAATTATATTTAAAAACTTTGTGATATATCTTGATTTAGTCATGGAAATAGTGATGGGTTTATATTTTTTTTTTAAGAAAAACTCAGGGTTTCACCACTTTCGTGAAGGTATTAATGGTAATTTTCAGTTTTTCATTGTAAATCAGGATACCCTAATTTATAAAATGGCAATAAATTATCAACAGAATTCTGTGAAATTTTGTATCAAACGTTCTGTATCTCTTAAAATAACGAAGTTACTCATGTATGGATATAGAACAAGACCATTCATGGAAAATGTCCTTTTCTATATGTTATTATGTGTTTCTATGTATTTTAAAAATTTAATGCTTTATGAAGGATGAGGAATAGTTAATAATATCTAAATTCTTCAAAATTTTGCCGCAATTTTTTGCATTTATCAATATTTTTAAATTTACCTCAATGGTTTTTAAATATAGTCGTGTTTTATAAATATTTTTGATATAAATATTGCTTGTGGCAATGTAATCAAACTGATATATACAGAGATATGGTGTTCTTCATTCCATTATATAAATGGTGCACAAAAATAAATGTCAGCATATTTTTGGTTGAAAATAGACACATCAAAGAAATTTAGAGCCAGCATTAGAGGAATAAGTTTTGAATAATTATTTTAATATTTCAGTTTGTATTTTGTATTATTAATTATTTATTAATAAATAATAATTATCATATTTTCAGTGTTTAAACATGTTTAAATCGTTATAAGTTCAAAACAGAAAAATCGAAGACTTTGTTACATTTTTTTTTATTTTCTAGAAATTACATATATCTATATTCTTTCCAAAATTTATTCGTAGTATGGAATTAACTACACAGGCCGGCGTAGCACAACATAAAGACAAAGAACACATTTTGTCTTTAGATTTCTTTACCATGTACCCCTTACTTTTTTCTAACACCAGTTGTGTGTAATCAATTCAACTTTTTATTTGTGCTCCATCCTCATTTCCTTATATCTGCACTTTTTATTATTTCAACCATGTATTAATTTCACCAGCATTAGAATTCCGCAGAAGTTTCTAGGATGTGTGCAAATTAATTAGGTCATAGAATAGTAAACGGTGTCTGAGTATGGCTTTATTTTCGAAACAAAAAAGTTCTTAAAGTAACCATCGAAGTAATTACAGTTTATGATAACCATATAATTACTCAAGCCACAACAATTTACGTACATGTGATACTTGGTACGTGCATGTATAAATCATTTAAATAATAATAAAGTTTTAAGTGCCTCAAGAGAGAATAGCCGTCTAATTATAGAATGAGAATTATATTTATTTCAGAGTTGCCTACTTATTTACGGTTTTTAAATGTCAGTGTTGATGCCGTTTTAAGTATGTTTCTCATACAATTGAAACATATCTTACTTAACGGTTCTTAACGGCACACTTTCGTACTTTGGATGCCCACATTAAAGGAAAGGGAAACTAAATTTTTTAACAAACTTCTACTTTCCTTGGATTAGTTTTAGGAATAAGCCACAACTCGTTTTTTTATATATGCTTAACATGTATACGGGTATTTTACATTACGGTATTATTAAATATTTACGGACTCTTAACGTACCGTTCCAATTATTAATAATACATCATTCGTTGGATACTTTAACTATACACATTATTGTTTTGATAAAATTTGCACTTTCTTTAGCACATCCGTGGGTTTTCTGACCCACTCCGCCTATTTACAGTCTACTTTTTAATGAAAAATTCTTCGAATATTTACGTGCAGAGTCATATTTCCGACACTCCTGTCGCCGTAAAAGACTAACAGCTGTTTACATTAACAAAAATTCGAAGAAACTGATCATCAAGAGAATTTTAATATATCTGTACTTTCTCCAGCAACAGAATTTCTCAAATTGATACTACAGAAATAATTCTTTTTACAGTAACTGATATAAAGGATTATAAAAAATAAGTAAATACTTGTACACATACATCAAACTTATGGTTTTATTAAAATCAGAACCCATTTATGAATAATTTATATCAGATGTACCTACTAATATATTTCAGATAGTATTATTTTTTCCTAAAATTCCTCTCTACGATCCTTAGGAAGTTAAACTTAGTTTTTTGAACAAGTAATCACGAACAGTTTAAGGTACTGTCCTGAAATTGGGTATTTTTCCTTCTCACAGTTAATGTGAAATTTTAAAAAGGTTTTCAAGAGAATTTACTTTTACAAATTAGGATGGACCAATTCTAATCAAATCGATTATGCCGATGCCGCTTGAAGTATTTAATAAAATGAACATTCTACCGTTGAAAATCCAAAACCATGACAAAATTGGAAATACTGTTAGTAGCAAAGCTAGTTTTGCACAAAGTCGCATTAATTTGAAAGATAATCAGAAGGATATGTTCAAAATTATCATAAATACGACTCTAGTTGCTGAGAAATAAGAATAAAATGCATAATCGACTTTTATCTAAAATAGAGAACATAACTATGCTATTTAAATAATGAAATATGTTTTTGCATATTTACGTTTCCAGCAAACATAGAATATCAGTTCGTAATATATTTAAAAGCTGTAGGTATTTTAAAAATCAATAGCATCAGATATCTAAGTTCAGCGAAAGCTGAATAATTATTTTTTGTTTTTCAAATTACGTTGAAGTAAAATATAGATATTATTGAACTCACTATTAAAGTAATACAGTTTCGCAGATTGAATTAAGTGTTTAATTTTATATAAAGAGAAGTGCGTTGGACCGTATGCGGCAAATATTAGTTTTAATTTGCATTCATATTAATTTAATTCGTAATATTTAAATATTTGCAAAACTTATTTAAATCTCTGTGTACAGAAATGTCTTGAAAATACAAAATCAGTGTTCATTAGATACCAGATTCTAAATTCACTTTCTGTAAATGAAATTGCAAAACGAGTTATCTCGTGTCTAGAGGCTTAATGTGCAAATAAGAAATATTACTCACATTAGAAAATATTCGTTGCGTTTATTGCAACCGTAACCTAGACCATGACCATCAAATAGTACCCTTGCGTAGGTGCCTGCCTTTTGCACGCACCCGCCGCCGATAGTTGCATATCGCACAGGGCATCCGAAACGAGGTTAGGCGCGTTTGCTGAGAAAGCGGTCCAAGATATCGCCCCGCGGCCGTCATTATAGTCCTCTGGACCCAAATTGTGTTGAGACCAGTCAGTAGGGAAGGGAGCGCGTAATATATATCCACACGGCGGGTTCGGAACATCACACAACAACCGCCTGTTCATCGTACACTAAATTTCCAACAATGGCTGTAACGAAACTCGCTGGATTATTTTTGTGCATCGTGGTAGCGGTTAGTGCGCTTCCTACGCAAGAAGAGCCTCGCGGTAACGCCATTCAAACTGAGAACGACCTACTGGACGCTATTTACAATGACTGCTTGCGCAAAGACTCCATGTCCTGCCTCAAGTACAAGTTGTTCAACTTCGTCGATAAAATGCTGGGGCACAAGGATACGATTACAGTGACGGAAGGTGTGCAAATTGTCAAGACCGGTGGTGAAAAAGAGGGTGCTCCCCGTGCCATTACAAGTGAAGATACCATCGAATCGCTTATCTATAATCGTTTCACTGACTTCTTGGAGAACCACATGATTAAAGTTAACTTAAAAGGAAGTGAGATCGTAGACGTCGTGAGTTCCACAGCGCGTTCTCTTGGTGATATAACCGACTCCTTTACTGAAGATGATAAGACCGTGGGAGAGGAAGAAGGTAGAGGCAAGAAGAAGAAGGCCAACAAACTTATGGGCCCACTCATGGCTGCCATGGCCCTCAAGGCTGCCATCCTGGGAAAGCTTGCCCTTGGTGCCATCGCCCTTATCGCCGGAAAGGCCCTACTTATCGGTAAAATTGCCCTTGTCCTTTCCGCCATCATCGGTCTGAAGAAACTCTTGGGTCAAGGACAAGGCAAGCACGTTACTTACGAAGTAGTTGCCCACCCTCAGCACTCCACTAGCCACGTACAAAGCCACGAAGTTTACGGAGGAGGTTCAGCCCATGGGGGAGGTTTCAGCGGCGACGTCGGCGGAGGTTATGGCGGTGGCGGTGGCTCCTCTGGACACGGCGGATGGGGCCGCTCCCTCGACGCTCAGTCGCTAGCCTACCGGGGACAAGCTCAAGCCCAGGCGTAGATATCCGAATTGTCAGTCTGGTTTTAGTACCTGTCAAAATCTCAGCGAGACGTCTAGTTCGCAAGTCGGGTTTTCGAGAACAAAACTATTTATGTATTTATTTCAATTTTTATTTATTAGTCTCTGTAATTAGGACCGACGGACGAAGACTTTTTACCATGCCCTGTGGGCGCCATAGATATAAGTTAATTGTTACATTTTATACGAGTCAATAAAGTATTTTCAAACAATCCTTACCATTTATTTATAAACAAATGCTATTCAATATAAAATTATTCTAAAAATAGTAATCCCATAACTTATTATCCACTTGTATCAGAAATTGACGCTTCATACTTTGTTATCTGCCGATAAAACCAGTATACTTTAAATTTCTTTTTTAATCTTGTCCACTTGACCCCGGTTAGTAAAAATCTTTAGGTGACATAAATTAATTCCCAGTGGTCAAGTTCATGACACTACTTATATATAACCACACCTGTCCCCATTCTAGGTTAAAGCGTGTTTACTGATGTTGAATGGGATGTTAATTCAAGCTCGTAAAGTATTAGTTAAGCAAATATATAAGTCCGCGCTGTATATTTTAAAAGTTTAGGTGCTTTGAATGATAATTTAGTAACAATGGATAAATTTTTAGCCTATATACTGACTGACTTCTGTAACAGTTTCCAAACCACTCTCTTTTGAAAATTGAGATTTAATTAATGCAGTAATGACATTTAAGATCGGTTGTCCCCATTTTCTCATTTTTATGGCAAAAGATAGTATACCAGATTTACATTTTACTGATTTTAAATTTCAAAGAGGACATGACACGAATAATTAATATATGTTTAATATGCATGAATTATTTACAATTAGATAAACGTTTTCATTCTATTGAAAAATGACATTTGTCTGATTGCTGTTATTGTAATTATAAATAATATAATCCCACGATACTTAAAACCTTTATACACCTCCATAATCTTTCCGAATATTATTTCCTTTGCTTACCAGATTAAGCGCTATACTTAGATTTTGACATTAATACAACATTCCATATTATTAACGACCCGATTCCTTCTACGTGCCTTTTCTCGAGTTTTCATTTCCGTATCTTTAATAGTTTGACCAAGAGAGAATTTATAGTCCTACATTTCAGTTTTGATATATTTACCAAAGTAACTAAAAAATAAATAAATTCCTAATTTTGAGTACAAACTGTTAAAAATTTAATTTTTATTAATAACTTGTTTAGTAGAACAAAAGAATCGAATTTGTACCTTTATTTGCAAACGATGAATAATATTGAGACTAACTTACCTATACAGAGTGACCTCAGCTCGCCTGCCAAACTTCTACAGGATATTCTTTGGTTAAAATTAACACAAAACGTTTAAATAAGATGTCAACTCCAACTGCTTATGTAAGTATAACAGTTTAAAGAAGATTTCGTCTTTATGTTTTTTTTAATATTTTCTTAATCAGTGGCTAACAGATTATTTAAATAGTCGTTTAGAACCATTTATTTGTATATGAGGATAACATTTCAGCTTTCTTTGAAGTGTTGTCTTTAGTAATCATTGTTATATGATGATATACGTTATAATTTTACTCGAAAACCTGTCTTTTAGCAAAATTTTTCAAGAGCAATAATTTTTTCAATTACCAATAATGTTTTATTGTACATTTACATTTCTCAAGAGATAAAAAAAAATGCTATTTTTTATCAAGGCGACTGTGAAAAAGTGATTCCAAGCAAGTCATTTCTTTGTAGTCCCATAAACCAATAATACTTCAAATGATTGAGGATATTTTAAAAAACATTTACAATGAGTCATCTTCAAGTACACCTATGATTATCTAAATTATTTAACACAAAACCCATTTTTAAAAGTTTTCCGTTTCTCACCAAATTTTAACACATTTTATTCCAGTAAAACGCTTGGAATATACTGAACAACAGAATGTTCAAGATTACTATATCTGTATCTAAAGAGATTCTAATAAAATCTATTAAAAAAAAGTATAGACAAATATAGTTTCTAAAATATTCCCCAAAGAATTTTTGTAAACATTTTTAATTTATTAACTTGGCATCATAAAAATAAAGTAAAAATGTGAGAGCTAATAAAAAATATATGTATTTTTTAAAATACTGTACTGTTTAATATCTTATAACTTATTAATGGTACCTATTTTAACTTTCCTATCTACTTCATAATCTGTAAACTGATCATAGTGTAGTTTGCCTAAACTAAGTCAATTTCAGAGATTCACAAACAGTGCTTTAAAGGAATAGTAAAAAAAAAAAGTAAAAAATACGAGAATAATTAAAAGATAATTAAAATCTGTCAGATCAATAAGTATTTTTATTTATTTTCTATTATGGACATTTTATGAAACAGCAAAAATTATTATTTTAAAACATAAATTAGTTCTTACAATTGGTGACTTTAAAATAACATTTCGCAAAGTCGTGTAAAAACAATACCACTCCGTTAGTTTTATAAGGTTGGTTTAAAAAGTTAATAACTGGCAACACTGATACACCTTCCGGGTGCTATCCTGTGGCGGCAAGTTCAAATGTGGTTTAATAAATGAATGAATGAATGAATGACTATTTATTTAATTTAAAAAATAATCATTTCAGACAAATATTCTGGGGAACACGTACCATTACCCCGTAAAAACTGACGCCCACTTAAAGTTACCAACTGAAAATTACACTCAAATATGTAAAGACGCATACCAACTAAGAAGTCTCCAGCTGAGACCTGTTTAAAATTATATGACAGAAATATCGTTTCTGTCCATCCTATTTTGTCACACAATAGGATATATCACTGTTTAGATTGAAAAATACATTAAAAAACACGATTAAGAAATAAGTTTTCTCTTAATGAAAAAATTTATACTTAAATTTTTGTATGTTAAATTCGTCGTAAAATTATGTGCATTATTTAGAAAATTAAACATCGTCTATTAAAATTTGTCATACTGAATAGCTAAATAGTCAAAATCTATAAGATTTGATTTTGGTGGATCTTATACTCATAGATAAGAGATTCGTTGTTTTATACGGGATGTTATCTACAGACATACCAATTTCATTAATTGCAAACTAGTATTAAAGAGGATAAAAAAAATTAGAAAAAAACAATAACGCATTTTTCAGTAACTTTTATAAAAAATGTGAAATCTCCCAATATTAGCGAAATTATTATTAAATAAAAGTGAAAGAAAAATAAAATGTATATATCGCAAACTAATTACAAATTCAGTCTTTTTGTACAATGTCAAGACATTGTATATACATTTTAGGCGTTTTACAAAACGCCGTTAAGTCTTATTGTAAAATGAACGTAAAAACCATTATTTTTACATTGCGCCTAGAATAAACTAAATAAATTCAGTCGTATAAGTAATATATAATATATTATATAGAATTAAAGAAACTTTTTATTTGTACAGAATATTTTACGAATTAGCAATAATATAAATTAATATCTAAATATCTAAAATTTTCAGTGAAATCGTAAAAAAAAACATCACTTTACAATTTGCTTAATCATTTATAAAACGACTAGGCATTTTATAAAAATACAGAATTTACAATTAGTCTGCGACGTAGGTATAAAGATCGTATTGTTCACACTGTCAATAATTTATCTCTAACAATACTGCTCAAGGAATGGATCATAGCGATTTATTCCTGGTCACATGGCATTTACAAAATTTTTACGCCTAAAATAAAAATTTCGTTATGTACAGAGTGATTTAGTATCTTTGAACGAATAAAAATGTAAATTCTTAAGAATGTAAACTGCAATTTAAAAAAGCATTGAAACATTCACTACAAAATATTAATAGGAAGATTATTTAAGTAACTTTTTTCTTCAAGGGAACGATAAAATATACTAACTTAATATAAACCCTCAATTTAAGTAGCGCCAGTAGCGTTCTTAATATTTGATATATCATAGAATTTTTAGGTTTGACATTTTACATGTTATCAACAAAAGTTTATACAAAATAGGCTGTCTCCAAACATTTTTCCCATATAGTCTTCTTGTACTTATTTGAATATCTTCAGCAATTTGCTTTTCTATTGTCGTTTCTGTCTACTGTATTATGTCGCAACTCAGCATTGAACATATAATTTAAAACAGTATCTATATTATAACCAAAAAAATATGATTGAATTGCTTTTAAAATAAAAAAAATTTACGACACTTCATTGTATTAGAAATTATTGTATTCGGGCGACAACTATTCATTTCCCACCTTAATTTTTAATGGTAATAACAAAATTATTTCATATATACACTACTTTCTTAGTGTTTATTTTATTTCTTAGATATTTGGATTTTCCCTCAGCAGCTTGCTTACTGTAACGCTTAGAAGATAAAAGAAAGAAAATAATACCAATTTATGAGACTGTAGCTATATCCATTACACACCAAATGTTCTAAATTCTAGATTATGTCCCTAATTTACACGAAAATGTTAATACATAGGTACCTGGTGCAAGACTTTCATAATAATATTTGGTTAATATTTTAATATGATTCTATCCTGACACTCCATCAGATATACTCAGGTTTTGTAAATTAAATGAATTAGATTTGATATAATCCCGTTAAGCCGACATAGTTGTCAAAAAGAAATAGAAATTTCGATGTTGTAGATTCATATTAATATATTCATATTAAACGAACAAAAACGATCATCAACGAAAAATAATATTGTGTTCCTGATTTAAGTATAATAAATCATTGTTTTATGTGAAGAGAAATTAATAATATGCTCCAATAAATTCTAATACTAATGTGAAACTTGCATACAGATAACATTTTAATGTTGACAGTAAGCATATGGCTTGCGCAAATTGATATGCATCTAATAATTCTCACAAGTAATGTGACATGTAAATGTTCTATATAATGATATCTTGCAACATCTGGGTAAATGGTTATACTGTATCTTTTCTCTTATAACTTCAGAGTTTGGCAAATAGTCGGTGAATAACCCAAAAAAAAGATCTACAAAAGAAGTAACAGATTGAAACACTATATATTTTTTAATTTAGTCTTTGCATGGAAATAAAGATTGGTTACTTATTAATTTATGTATTGAGGAAAAAGTCAATTTGTATTATATTTGACATGTTTTTTTATTATTGATAAGCGAGCTGTTGTAGTGTGCGTGGTGTATTTTGTCGCTCCTGCTAGAAGTGTTGCTAAAG